GGTGTCGGGTACACTGGGTTGTTGGCGGCTCCAATTACTGGAAGCAGCTTTACGCTCCCCACGCTTTCTTTTATTCTTCGGAAAGTGGATATCTTTTGATAGACACGACTTCAGAGTCGAATGCTCTGTAGTCGCAACACCTTTACATGCCATGTCAGCTTCCGATGCTAAAAGCATGCTGTCATTGTTTTCTTCTTCCCCGCTATTTTCTGCATCTTGAGTGTTCTCTATTTCTGCCGTCTCGTTTTGTAACAGAATATTATCGACAATCTGTGACGTAATGACAGTCAAACACTTAGTAACTAACAGTACGACTACAGAATTCAAAGAGGCAATAAACACCATGCTAAGCATTTGATGAGTAGTACCATAATCCAATGAAAAAGTCGAAGCATGCACTCTGATTAACAGAAGTTATTATCATAAATTATCTGATTGTATTGTGTATTATTTCGTCGTTAGGAGAAACCCCACATGTGGTTGTTGTTATTATGTGTCATGCAATAGAAAGGCCTATTAACCACAATTATGTTGAATTTTACCAGTCCCGCCTCGGATTAACTTAGATATCATCCTAATATCTGAACAAAACCAACAAAGTCCATAAGAAAAATGCTTTTATGACTTACCCTTTCGGATGAATCTCCGACTTGGGCATGATGCTGAGTGACATCGACGGAAGATAGCAGCCCAACTGTGCTTTCGATTATATCAGGAATAGGAATAGCCTGTCCGAAGCTGGATACAGCAAAATCTTCAAAGTCATAGTCGGACATATGCTGAGGTGGTGAAGTATAGAGGCTTCCTCCAACCGAGAGGGTATCTTCATTACAAGCAGACAATGAAGGACTAGGCCCAGAGCTCATCTGTAAATCGCAGGCTACGAGTTGGCTTAGGTTCTCCGAGGAAGAAAACCTGCTGGCATTGTTTGTCATTACCAAGCCAAGTTTGTCCTTCAACTTATTAACCCGAGCATGGACCGTTTCAATCTTACGAAGAACATGCTCCAGGAAATTATTGCTGTTGTCTTCTGGGAATATATAATCGTCATGAATCCCAAACTCATCTTGACCGGTTGCTTGCTGATCTGGAGAATTTGACAAGAAGAAGAAACTGCTAAGAAATAATACATATTTGTTAAAAAATAAACATCAAAAGATTTCAACAAAACAAACAAAACTAAAAATTGGACCGCATGATTTGCTCAGCTGTAAGTGTTGCCAGGTACTCGGGAGTTCTATTGGACAATTTTCTTAAAGCAAAGACTTGTGTTTTTGGTAATTCAACACAGAAGAACTGCTGCTTATATACTGACATGTAACAGTGGATCTCATAATATAATGAGACCTATCTGCATATGTGACTATCGCACTATCAAGTCTAAACTTCATGCTGTCAAAACTATCACAATTGACAATAATCAAAATTTTCACTTGTTTAACCAAAATATTTTGACCTTTAACTTAATCAGGTGGTTCAATTTTCTATGCCATCTCACAAATCTCGCCCGTTCAAGTTATGACCATAGAATGAAAGGAGGAGATTTGGCCTTTAGCACACCTGAATTACCAAGGTTCTCCTTTCTAGGAACTGCATCCAGATCAGCCTTTTTATTTTCTGCAATATTTCACAACATGGGACATGCTTTTTAGTTCAGAAGAAAATAAATGAAACACACACACACACACACACACACACAATGACATGGACACAGGTCCAAATGAGGTCGATTATATAGAATTTAAAGGAAACCATACCACGCTCACAGAAAAGGACATGCCCCGACATAAATGATGTGATATCCGTTGTAAGTTCCGCCCTCTTTCTTTTCCTCCTTTTCATTAACTTTTTTCTATGACTAAAGTGTGTGAATGGCTGGGACTTTGAGCCAGATTGTTCCACTGCCACTTGATCAGTTATCTTATGTTTCCCCTGATCGTTTATAGAAATTTCTCTCGCGTATTTTGATGCTTGCGACTCTAATTCCTTTATTCTCAATTCTGTCCATTTGCATCTCCACATTAGAGGGTGTATGAAGTTTCTCCAGTGAGCTGTCAGTTTTTTCTTTCTGAAAGAAATTAATCAATGTCAGCTGAATGAAACGTGTTTTGTTCCATCTGTAGAATAAGAAAATTCTGAATCAAATCTGACCAATAGAAATAGAATCCTCAATGTTTGGCAGTTAATGAGTTTGAGTTTAATTGAATTGTAATTTATTCGCGTAAGCTTTATGAATGCTATACACATGTCTCATAAAGCCACTGCATATCAGTAGTTTTATAATGGTACGTTATTCAAGATTGCAGCTTGTACGTGTCACATGTGGGAAAGAACATATATGATATTTAACTAGGCAATGCAAGCAAACAAAAAAATAGTCGTAACCATGGAAGCAGAGGAAAACTACAGGTTAACTCAAAAGAAAACAAACCGTTGAGAGAAGGACCCAATTTGGAAATACGTCAAACCAATGAATGAATATGGAGTTATATTTATAATTGCCATTACGGAAAAATGCACCGTGACCAAAATTTGAAAATTATAGTCACTGAAAAAACCGAAAATAAGTATACAAGTGCAACAAAATCGATACCTCACTGGAAAAACACTTGCGAGACCACCAAGCGGAGAAGCCAAATCATTCTCCCCAAAAAATTGCGATTCGACATCAGCATCACTTAATCCACAATTATTTTCATTCCCAGAAATTGTGTCGGCAAATGAACTGGAATTTTCAGTTGCGTCAGGGTCTTCTTTTGGCTCCACTTTGACATCCATGTTTCGGTTAAATCCTAGTACATTGATGGAAACATCTTCTGCACCCTTCAAAGATTCGAATGGTTTGTCCATGATGACTTGATGATGATAAACATTCCTCTACTTTCGCAAGTGTTCTGCAAAAGATATTGTGTTATCTCGTAGCTGAGTTGGTACAGAAGGAAGCCGAGCAAACAGACATTCAAGCTATTTAATATTCTAAAGACTGACGTGAATCAATGTACTAAGAGCATGCTGATAGTTATCACGCTTTGCCGTATTTGTTATCTTTGTATATATGCACTCACATGTTTATATGTTAGACTTATAGAAATTTATTTGCTATGAAAATTTATATAATTTACAGGGGGAAAAGGAAAGAACACTTAATTCATACAACACAAGCAGAGTTGTGACAGGGCACAGAAGGGAAGCATATAAATGCACAGCAATTTGATCAGTAGAAGTAAATGGCTTATTGCATTAACAGAGAATTTACTACTCCACCATCTCCTCTATTTCTGCCAAATTGTCAATATTATGACATCATGATCTCCATTTTAATATTTTTGTTCCTAAATTCATTTTCAGGGATCCCGTAGAAATCGTTAAAAGTTCATTTCAGAAAACTCCAAAAATAAGTTAAAAAGTTAATTTCAGAAAACTTCAAAAAAATTTAATGAACGTTCGAGAAAGAATATATTTCTACAACTGGGTCCTACTACTAGCTACACGGAAACAGACAAAGCCCTAAAGTCCTCACATTAAAATGTCCGGTTAACACTGAATTTATAATTTCACACTAACACAAATATTTTCTTTTTATCATTTCGTCCATCCTGGGTCTCAAACTAACTATTAATCATACTAAAATAATATATAAAATTATTGAAAGACGATCTCTGGGAATAATAAGAGTCGATGATAGGAAAAAAAGTTGCACGCTTACAAAAAAGACAAAACTCTCCAATACAATTCCGATGTTCTAAATACTTATTAAGTCCCATTTTCCAAATTACATGACCTGGAGAATTTCATAATCCCCAAGTCACCGTGCTGTGTCGTCAGTCAAACGAACACCCAAAAATCCAGACATATCATAAGCAATGTAACATCATATGCTTGGTCGACTCACATCAATATTACAAATAACCAGTGCTAAGAGATTTATCAGATTAGCTTGATATCACCAATAATGCCTGCACTAACTAATTCCATAACATAAACTATGATAATTATCTACCTTATTGTGCTCAAAAAATACCTCATACACAACACAAAATTCAACTCCTTTCCTCACATCCCTCGTTTTGTTTCCCTGGTACAAGTGAAAATAAGAGACAAACACTCCACATAACATGCTACGCAAATACCGTATTTACGAAAAAATTTCAACATATGACTTCAAAATGCGCCAAAGTTACAGATACCTCCTTAACTTAAGCTACAGACAATGATGAAATAGTCGATCTAAGAACAAATAAAATAAATAAATAAAAAGCAGACAAAACAGCTGAATAAACTACCATCATCTGTAAGAATAAGGTAAACCCAGTTGAGAACAAGCATAATTCATGCTCCAATTAACTTGCTACCCAAAAACTTCATTTAGGAAAATCAACACACGACTTCAAAAATGTGCCAAGGTTACACAGACACTCTTAACTTAAGCCACGAATAATGACGACATAATTGAACTAAGAACAAGATAACAGTAAATAAATAAAATTAAAAGAAAAAAGGGGAAACATAGTTCTGCACCATACTTGAAAAACCAAAAGGAAAAACACAGTCTTGCAAATCAAAAGGCAGACGAAAAGAGCTGAATAAACTACGATCATCTGTCAGAATAAGGCAAGCCCAGATGAGAAAAGGCATAATTCATGCATTCCGATGAGGTTTCAGGTGGCGAGAGGAAGTTGGCGGCGACACTACAGAGTACAGAGAGCGGCGTGTGTGCTCAGAGGCGGAGCAAACGAACGTTGAGGTTCTTTATTTCAGGTATATATATATATATATATACACACGCAATAATATTATTAATTTATTATCATATAGTAAAGTTGTGACCTAAACTTAGTGGCGACTTATTCGCTGACAATTACCGCTTTTTCTTGGCATAAATAAAAACACGATTTCTATGTAAACACTGGTGTTAATTGTATATATTTATTTTTATTATTTTTGGTTCCACGTGGCAAAGGAATGGTGCAACTTGTGATTCGTGTGGTACTGCAGGTGTTTGCATGTGATGTTTCTTACTTCCTGTTTTAATTATTTGGGAGATATATTTGCTTTAAAGAAAAAAAAAATAATAATAATAATCTTGGTTTTCAAATGAGATGCACAAATAAAAAATATTAAAATTATTATAATAAAAATCAAATATTGAATTTCATGTTTACAGTACGTTTAATTTAGAATAAAATTATTTGTCATCATTAAAATTGAAACCGCAATATCTATCTACTATATAATTAGGCAACTCACTTGTCATTGTCTTACTATTTTTAGAAAGGCTTCACATTCTTTTGACATCTATTAATATATAAAGAGGGAATGATATTTATTTGAAAAAACATGAAAAAAAATCAGCAAAAAAAAAATGCCAAATTCCCGCCCAAAGTGAAAAAAATGTGAAAGATTTTTGGCTAAAATTATTAATCCGAGCGCCATTAAATCGTTTCAAAATTTTTGAATATATTTGGTTATTTATTTTAGCCTTTTTTGGACTTATCTATTCCTATAATCCGATTTTTTAATGATTTGTTCAGATTTTCTTATAATCACGTGTGTCATATAATCCTATCTATATAAATACATGTTTATCATCTCTTCCAAAACTTCACAACAGAAAAATACACACATTTTTTTTCCGACATACATAGAAGAAAAAAAAATGGCGCACATCCTTGGTACACTTGAGGTCGTCAATAGGGCCAACCAGCCTTTATTGACATTGAGAGTAGTCAACATTTTCGAATCTCATTCCGATCTGCAGTGCAAGAACCATTTCCACATCCTGTTTCATGATAAAGATGTAAGCATTTCAATTGTTTTATATAACATAAATTATTGCATAAATTATATCTATTAATTTTATACCTTTACATTGTAGGGTGTACACATAAATGGCATCATACGTTCACGAAACATGAGATTTTATCGAGATATTTTCAAAGAGGGCGATGTTTATGTTATCAACAACTATACTATCGAATTCAATAACCGAAAGATCAATGGAACCAGCCACAAATGGATGCTTGTGCTTAATCTAGATACTGAT